GCGCGGTGCAGGGTAGTCAATTGCACCACGTAGATTGCACCATGTAATCAGATAGTACAATCAATATTGCACGACATAGATTGCTCCACACGGGTCACAAGCATAGATTGCTGCACATCGATTAACCAGCAAAGACTGCACAACATGCAATGCGCACCAGATATTGAATGTCATATATCGCACAACAGAGATTGCACAACATGGGTTGCACCATCTAAACTGCAACTCGTGCATTGCACCATCTGCTTTTTCATATATGTAACGATATATATATATATATATATATATATATATATATATATATAGAGAGAGATTGCACCATATAGACTGCACAACGTAGAGTGCCAGGAACATACCGGTTGGGGTCCACGCTGGCTAGCAGTGGACGTCGATTCGCTACCCCGCTGGGAGCCCACTCGGAGTGCGGTGCCGTGCGCACGCGGAGTGCTCCCTACAGCTCTCATCCCAGGGTGCTGTTCTAGAGGGAGCTCTGTAGACGCTCGACAGTGGGATTGGGATCGGTGCGGCGGTGAGCATCGAGCCGCGCCCGCCTCAGCATGGGCCCCCGGCCCCGGGCTTCGGCGGGGTCGCTCGCCTTCGCCAGCGATGTGCCGCCCCCTCGTCCTCAGGCGCCACGGCCCGAGGGAGGGCGCCCCCCCCGGCTGGGACGCAACTCCTGGGAGGTCCTCGCCTCCCGGACCCCCCCCGCGCCTCTTTCGACGACGTGCGACTGCTGAGGGCTGGTCAGGGAAGAGGCGAGCAGACGGACTACGGTCGGACCGAGGTGCAAGATCGGGGTCGGTTCGGGGAGGGTGCCCCAGTGTTCGTCGTGCTCGCGGGATGTTCCTGTGCATCCTGGGGAGGGTACCCTTGGATGTGCTGCGTGTTTGGGCCCGCGGAGGTTCTAGGTCTTGTGTTCTTGAGGGGTGTTCTTCTGGCCTGGGTCCGACTGTACTGCGTGCGTGGGAAGGGCGGAGCGACGTTGCTGGTGCGTCGCAGAGGTGAGCCGTAGCGGGTTACATCTTGGCGTGACCCGTGACGAGTGATCGGCGCGTCTGTCGGCGCGGTCTTTGGAGGCGGCAGGCGGCGGGGCCTTCGGTGTAGCTCCATATGGGGCCACGAAACGCGTGAGGATTGCGCCCAAATCGGCGGGTCACGCATGCGATTCCTGCCGCTGGGGCCCTCGGTGGAGCGCCCCATGGGGCCACGAACCGTGTGAAGGTGCGGAGAAGCATGCGAACGCAGCCACTTGGACCCGTCGGTGGAGCTCCTTTTAGGGCCACGAAGCGTGTGAGGGGTGCAGTGCACCAATGCGCTGCAATGGTGTGGAGAAGAATTGCGAACGCGGCCACTGGGGCCGTTGGTTGAGCTGATTATGGGGCCACGAAGCGTGTGAGGGGTGTGTCAGAATGGTGTGGAGGAAACATGCGAACGGGGCCTCAGGTGGGGCTCCCTGTGGGGCCACGAAACGTTTGAGGGGTGTGCCAGAACGGTGTGGAGAAAGCATGCGAACGCAGCCACTCGGACCTTAGATGAGGCTCCGTATGCGGCCACGAAGTGTGCGAGGGGTGCGCCGAGATGGTGTGGAGAAGGTTTGCGATCGCAGCCACTGGGGCCTTCGGTGGGGCCCCCCTGCGGGGCCACGGAGCGTGTCGGGGGAGAACCGAGACAAAGACTGCGGAGGGCAGAGGCAGGGAGCGCCGCGGGGGGGAAGGCAGGAAACGAGGGAGGAAGGAAGGGATGCGTATTGAAAGCGGGAGCCCAGCTTAACACAGGATGGCTAGGGAACGAAAGCGAGCCTGACGAAGGACCAAGCCATCTGCAAATGTGAGTACGGCTCCGTGGGTACCGCTTTCGGTGGAGCTCCGAATGGGGCCACGAAACGAGTGAGGGGTGTGCCAAATGGGCGTCGGGCGCATGCGGACGCTGCCTCTGGGGCCTTCGGTGGAGCTCTCCACGGGGCCATGAACCTTGTGAGGGGTGTGCTAAGGTGGGCGCCGGGCGCATACGGACCCCGCTACTGGGGCCTTCGGTGGAGTTGTCTATGGGGCCACGAACTGTGTGAAGGGTGCGCCAAAATGGGCGTCCGGCGATGCGGACCCTGCCTCTGGGGCCTTCTGTGGAGCTCCTTTCGGGGCCACGAAGCGTGTGAGAGGTGTACCACATAGGGCGTCAGGCGCATGCGGACCCTGCCTCTGTCGCCTTCGGTGGAGCTCTCTGTGGGGCCACGAAGTGTTTGAGGGGTGTGCCAAATCGGGCGTCGGGCGCATGCGGACCTTGCCACTTAGGCCTTCGGAGGAGACCCCTATGGGGTCACGAACCGTGTGAGGAGTGAGCCAAAATCTGTGCGGTGGTGCCATGCGGGCGCTGCCACTGGGGCCGTCGGTGGAGCCCCCTATGGGGCCCGAAACGTGTGAGTGGTGTGCCGACACGGGCGCGGTGGTGCCATGCGGCCGTTGCCTCTGGGGCCTCAGGGGGACCTCCCGATGCGACCACGAAACTTGTGAGGGGTGCGCCGTAACGGGTGCAGTGGTGCCATGCGGGCGTTGCCACTGAGGCTTTAGGTGGAGCTACCTATGCGGCCACGAAGCGCCTGAGGGGTGTGCCGAAATGGGCATGCGGCGAGCAGAGGGACGATGCTGACGACGGCGACCATGATGATGTTGATGCTGATGATGAGGATGAGGAGGAGGAGGAGGAGGAGGAGGAGGATAACGATGTTGTTGATGATAATGATGATAAGGATGATACTGCGGATGAAGATGATAATGAGTAGGATGAGGATACAGATGATGATGATGATGATGATGATGAAAAGATGAGGATGATGATGAGGAAGATGAAGATGATGATGACGACGACGATGGTGATGATGATGGTGATGATGCTAAGTATGATGATTATGATGCTGATGATGATGACGATGCTTGTGATTGTGAGGGTGATGGTGACGATGTTGCTGATGATGACGATATTGATGATGATTAGGATGATGGTTATGGAGATGCTGATGATGATGCTGATCATCATGATGTTGTTTATGTTGATTATGATGGTGATGATGATGATGACTGTGATGATGGTGATGGTGATGGTGTTGAGTATTATCATAATGATGCTGATGTTGATTATGTTTAACATTATGATGAGGATGAGGTCGAAGATGAAGATACGGATGAGGATGAGGATGATAATGAGTACGAGGATGAGGATGATTAGATTGATGGTGATTGCGATGCTGTTGCTAATACTGCTGCTGATAATGATGATGATGACGATGCTGTGGATGATTGTCTGGATGATGGGGATGGCGATGATTATGACGGGACGCGTGAGGCGTGCGCCGAAATGGACACGCAGAGAGCAGAGGCACGATGCTGACGATGGCGATGATGATGATGGTGATGATGATGATGCTGCTGATTATGATGGTGATGAGGATAATGACTGTGATGATGGTCATGGTGATGGTGTTGAGTATTATCATAATGATGCTGATGTTGATTATGTTTAACTTTATGATGAGGATGAGGTCGAAGATGAAGATACGGATGAGGATGAGGATGATAATGAGTACGATGATGAGGATGATTATATTGATGGTGATTGCGATGATGTTGCTAATACTGCTGCTGATAATGATGATGATGACGATGCTGTGGATGATTGTCTGGATGATGGGGATGGCGATGATTATGACGGAACGCGTGAGGCGTGAGCCGAAATGGACACGCAGAGAGCAGAGGCACGATGCTGACGATGGCGATGATGATGATGATGATGATGATGATGATGATGATGATCATGATGATGATGATGATGGTGATGCTGTTGCTGATGCTGATGCTGATGATGGTGCGGATTATGATGATGAAGATGAGGGCGAGGATGATAATGATAATGAGGACGATGATGGGGATGATGATTCGGATGAAGATGAGGATGCTGATGGTCACGAGGTTGATGATCAGGATTATGATGATGATGATGATGATGATGATGGTTGTGGAGGTGTTGATGGTGGTGACGATGATAATGCTGCTGATTGTGACGATGATGCTGATGATGATAATGACAACGACGACGACGATGATGATGATGCTGATGCTGATGCTGATGCTGATGATGATGATGATGATGATGATGACGATGATGACGATGATGATGATGATGATGATGATGATGATGATGATGATGATGATGATGATGATGATGATGATGATGATGATGGTGGTTTTAGTGGTGTCGACGATGACACTGGCGATGAAGGCATGCGGAGAGCAGAGGCAGGGATGGAAGAAAGGAGGCAAGGGAGGAGGAGGTGAGGAACGCGGGGCGCTGTCTCTTCAAAACGAGGACCCAACTCCACAGGATGGTTGGGAACAAACCAAAACACACATCGGCCCTGGTGCATCCGTGGTCGAAAACCAGCTGGCACACGCCCGATCTATTCCGCTGAACTCTGGCTTCGTAATGGGCCCAGTTTGGGCTGATGCGGCCCCATGGCCCGTTCACTTAGGCTTCGTAGTTCTTCACCACTATCACGAAGACCTCCCATGATAATCCGCCGATTATTTTTTCATCAATCCGCGGCCCCAGACGTCCCGACCGCTTCCCCCGGGGGTAACTGCTCGTCCCAGATCTATGTGTGATGGTCCCGGGGCCTGGAAGCGGGCACCAGCTACCGAAACCCAACCAAAGAACGCCTGGGTCGAACAGATCAGATCGTCGCAGCTCCGGGTCCCAGGAGTTGATTCCTGAGCCCAGCGTCCAAGCGCCGCCCAGCATGCGAGCATGTAGGGGAACAAAAAGTGACATAAACATAAGAACTCGGAGGTCCGCGCGGATTTCTCGGATCGGCGCTGGGGCCCCCCCCGGCGGCGCCTCCGGCGCCACCCCTGGCGCGCGGAGCGCGCCAGGGAGGGGGGTCCAGCGCCGATCCGAGAAATCAGCGCGGACCTCCGAGTTTTTATGTTTATGTGACTTTTTGTTCCCCTGAGCATGGCCGAGTGGGGCAGCGAGCCGTGGGCTGCCGCGGGGCAGCCCGGCGGCTGGCAGGGCAGCCCCGCCTGGCAGGAGGCTGCCGCGGGCGCCTACTGGCACGCCGCGGACGAGGGCTGGGGCGACCCAGGCTCGGGTCGGACGAGCGGAGTCAGAGAAGGAGGAGGAGGAGGAGGAGGAGAGGAGTGGCGGAGGAGGGAGGAGGAGGAGGAGGAGGAGGAGGGAGGAGAGGGAGAGGAGGAGGAGGAGGAGGGGAGGAGGAGGAGAGGAGGAGGAGGAGGAGGAGGGGGAGGAGGAAGAAGAAGAAGAAGAAGACGAAGGAGGTAGACATAGACATAACAACTCGGAGGTCCGCGCGGATTTCTCGGAGCGGCGCTGGGGCCCCCTGGCGGTCCTCCGGCGCCGCCCCTGGCGCGCTCCGCGCGCCAGGGAGCGGGGTCGAGCGCCGATCCGAGAAGTCCGCGCGGACCTCCGAGCGTCTATGTTTATGCCATTGTTCGTTCCCCTACGATCGCATTACCGCTGGTTGCGCAACAAGCGCCATCGCCCCCACATTCCAAGATTGCTGGGGAAGCGGTGCGTTCCTCGCAAGAGCGGGCGCTCATGTCGCAACTTTTCAAGCTCCCTTCTGGCGCGGTCCTCCGCCAACGTGGCGATGCGGGGGTGTCGGGGTGGGTCCTTTCGGTGCTTTTACCGGTGGGTGCTGGTTTCGCAAACCGTGGTTGCGCTACACGTCTCTCGTCGCCACAGCTGGTTTCGCGTCGGAATTCTGTTCAGAACGGGCCCCGGGAGAGGTCCAGGGAGTAGCGGCGTCAGTATCTTGTCGTGTCTCCACGGGGGGGGCTAGGGACCCTGACATCCTCGCGTCGTGAACACGTCACGGCAGAGGATGTTTGCTCGTTTTCCCTGAGGGCCCGCGTTGCGACGAAGTCGCGGTCTCAGAGGTGCGAGGGGGAAGGGGGGCTTACGAAAACTCGGCCCCCCCGCCGGGCGATTTCCAGGGTACATGGTCGCGCCGGGGGGTCCCTGGAAAACGAGTTGCATGATCAGATTCTCAAGCAGTGGCGAAGCGTCTGGACTTACCTATAGGCCCACCGAAGAATGTGTTGAGAGCCTGTTGTGGTTTGCAAGAAATGGCATTGGAACATTTCTGGCTAAATATTCTTGGGAGATTTCTGGCTGAGACAGTCTTGTGTTAACCCAATTGACGTTTTGGTCTAAGAACATCCTTTGCTTTCTTAGAAGAGTTCTTTTATTGTGGGAGCGTTTATTGGTAGCCCTATAAGAATGCAAGGACAGTCGCAGTCGGTGCTTGCTCAAGATTCTCTGACCGCCCGTTTGCTATCCCCCCCTTCTGTCCGACCCGACAGGCTGGCAGGTTACAGGCCCGGTTGGCGCCTGGGGCGGCCAGTGGGGCTGGGCCGAGGGGGGCTGGAGCGGCGGCGCCGGGTCCGGGCAGGAGCCCTGGCAAGCCCAGCTGGCAGCCCCGAGCTTGGGCAACACGGACGAGCACACCGCGAGCGTGCACTACGGGAAGACGTTCTCGGTCCTCTCCGAGGTCTTGGAGAAGCACCCAGCAGCATTCCAGGGAGTCTCCTCGTTCCTAGACCTCGGCTGTGCACCCGGCGGCTTCGCTGGGCGACTACTAGAGCAGTTCCCAGCCGCCCAGGGCTACGGCGTGACGATACCGAGAGAGGCTGGCGGCTTCCCCGTCTTGATCTGCGACGAGCGCTTCCACATCCAGCTCGGTGACCTGATGCAGTTCCGCTCCCCCGACGAGCTCGACTGCCCACAGGGCGTGGACGTGTGCATGGCAGCCCGCTGCGCGTACAGAGCGACCCTTGGCCAGAGTGACCCTTGGTGCGGGCTTGTACGCCCCCCCCCCTGCTTCCCTTGGCCCCCAAAGTCAACATCGTCTGACCTATCCCCATTCCCACTGGGCCATAGCATCTCAGCCCCACCAGCCCATCCTCCTAGCTAGGTGGGGATAAGTAGAAACCCGAACCGAAGGCACAAGCATAGATCTTCATCTACGTGGATACGTTTGCCAGCTGCCGGGCCAAGCCAGCGCTAGATATAGTTTTGGATCGGGGGGGATAGAACGGCGAGGGGGAGGAGGAGAGGGAAAGGGGAGGGGAAAGGGGGCAAGGGGCCCAGTCACGTCACCATTTGCACCGGCGCCGTGTAGGGGATGGCTGCTTCCCAGCCGCTGCCAGCGCGAATCGTGACGTGACCATCGAGGGGGAGGGTGTGGGGGAGGGGCGGGGGCCAGTCACGGGCGCTGCCGCAAAGAACAACAGAACGGGCTCCCAGTAGGGATGTGGATCGGTCAAGCGATGCTCATAGAGAGCCCAGCACTGGTGCAGTCCCCAGTCGGTTTCGCTGATCGACGTGGGTCTCGCCGCGTAGCACTCGCCTGTGTTTGGACGTTGATGAGCTCCTCCGCTCGGGTCCACTCGAAAGGCGGTGCCGTGCAAACGTGCAGTGCACCATGTAGGTTGCACTAAGGGGCGTTTTGCTAAAAGGGTGCTCTGCAAATCTTCGATCGGGGAAACGTAAGACTCGAGTTCGCTGGAACTCGGGCTTCCCAGCGCTTTTTGACGGGACCGTCCTGGATTTTGATGGTCTAATTCCGTGAGGTGTTTGCAGTGGTAGTTCGCGTCGAATGTCAGATCGGGTCTCGTCATTCTCCTGACGGCCCCGTCAGGCCAACCCGAGTCCCCCGACTCCGAGTCTCACAGTCGGCCCTGATTAGTAGGTCGACCCTGCCGAATCGAGGGTACCCTCGTGTCCCCTGTTTCGCGGCTCATGCCTTCCCGCACTCCCGTGGCAACCTGGTCGTCGGCAGGGTCTCGTGTCCCCTCGCGTGCCCTCTCCAATCAAGTCCGACTGTGCGGCCGACTGCACGCCTTCCCGCTCCGAGTGCGCCGCGCGCCAAGGGGAGCTCACGCGCCTGCCGGGGCCGCTCCTGCGCGCAGCCCAGGCGGACGCGCAGGACCTCGGCCGGCGCACCAACCCCGCCGGCCGCGAGCAGGAGGCCGGGCGAGGGCGCGGGCGCCGCGCGCGGGAGGGCGGGCGCGGCGGCAAGGCGGCCAAGGATCGGAGAAGACAAATCGGCACTCGTCGGGGCACAGTCGGACAGAGGCAACCGCAGCCCGCGGATCATATAAAGCCTCTCGCCCCTTGAACCCTGGTATCGGTGGACCCACGGGAATGCATGTGGTTCAGTTGCCACAGCAGGCGGAGCGGCCGAACATCACTATCCCCTCCAGAGTTCCTATCGTCGGATCTTCGGGAAGATCGATCCAGACATCCTAACATCGATGTCTTCGGGAAAAAGTTGATTTCCTCCCTGGACCCCGAATTTCATTATCCACAGGGGGGTATTCTCATCGGCGTAGGGTTTTAAGATCGAGGTCGGCTCGGGGAGGGTACCCAAATGTGCTTCGTGTTTGTGGGATGATTTGTGCATCTTGGGGGAGGGTTACCCTGGATTGATCTTATGGTTTGGGGTGCTTTGGCAAGCGGATGATCTCTCGTTCTTGAAGGATGATCTTCTGTCCTGGGTCCGACTGCAGGTCAGAGGAGGAAAAGGCACCGACACCACTACTCTTCCCTCTCGAGGAAAGGTAGGACTCGAGTTCGCCGGAGCTCCGGTTTGCCGGCGTTTTGTTGGCCGGTCCGTCTTGAATGTTGACGGTAGAGTTCATACAGATTTGCAGACTGGGCTTCGTGATTTTCTTGACGGCCCCGTCAGGCCAACTCGAGTCAGTCCCCCGAGCCCGAGCCTGACGTCTCCACGAGCCTCGTCGCTGGGCTGGATTCGCTTCGGAGCCTGGGGCAGAAATCGGCACGAACGAAATGGATACGGGAAAGGTGGGTACGATGACCAACAGCAGTTCCTGTTCATTCTGAACCGGGCGCGCTGTCCGTGCCGCCGCGCATGTTGTCCATCGGAAGGCCGCCTGCCCAACAGCGGCCGCCGTCGGTTTGGGACAACACGTGTTGTTGGACAACGTGCCCATCTTTGCCGTCCCCGTTTCGGGTGTCCAAAGGAAAGCATCCCAGGAGAGTCGGGCCGGGCGAAAGGGGGGGATTGGGAAGGGGGGGTACGAAATCTGCTGCATGCAGCTGGTTTAGGCCCCACCGAGGGGCCCACTCCTGGATACATGGGCGCTCCCGGCGCCAGGAGGCGCCGGGAAAATCAGCTGCGTGAGCTGATTCTCACCCCCCCCTTTCTATCCCCCCCTTTCGCCCGCGACCCGAGAGAGGTCGGTGTTCCGTGGAGTGACGGGCATTGGCGTACCTTGCCCCCCTACCTTTTCATAAGCTTCCGGCGGGCCGCGCGGACTTCTCGGGTCTGCGCTCGAGCCGCGTCCCTGACGCGCGGGCGGCGCCAGGGGCGGCGCAGGAGGCGCAACGGCGAAAGGGGTCCAACGCCGATCCAAGAAATCCGTGCGGACCTTTGAAGGTTTTCGGGGGCTGCGCTAGGGGCTTCAAACCCCAGGGGGGGTGCATTCTATGCATCCAGGCGCTCCGATCGCCCATGCGTTCGACGAGGCCTCGGGCGGATGCATGTAAGGCCCACCCGTAGGCTATTCACCCGTGTCCCCAGACACCGACGTCATGATTCCCAACCATCTTGTGGTGTTGGGTCCCCGTTTTGAATAGACAGCGCCCCGCGTCTGCTCCTTTCTGCCTTCCTCCTCCCCCTCCTCCCTTCTCCGTCATCCCTCCTCCCTCCTCCCCATCCCCCTCCTTGCCTTTGCTCTCGGCACACCTCTCACACACGTTTCGTAGCCCCATAGGGAGCTCCACCGAAGGTCCCAGTGGCACAGCCCGCATGCGGTTCCCTCATCCAGGGCAGCCTTTCGTGGCCCCATGGGGAGCTCCACCGAAGGCCCCAGTGGGGGGGGGCGCATGCGGTTCCCCCACCCAGGGCAGCGCTTCGTTGCCCCATAGGGAGCTCCACCGCAATCCCCAGTGGCTGCTCTCGCATGCGGTTCCCCCACCCAGGGCAGCGTTTCGCGGCCCCATAGGGAGCCCCACCACAGGCCCCAGTGGCTGCTCTCGCATGCGGTTCCCCCGCCCAGGACAGCGTTTCGTGGCCCCATAGGGTGCTCCACCGAAGGCCCCAATGGCTGCTCTCGCATGCGGTTCCCCCACCCAGGGCAGCGCTTCGTGGTTCCATAGGGAGATCCACCGAATGCCCCAGTGGCTGCTCTCGCATGCGGTTCCCCCACTCAGGGCAGCGTCTCGTGGCCCCATAGGGAGCCCCACCGAAGGCCCCAATGGCTGCTCTCGCATGCGGTTCCCCCACCCAGGGCAGCGCGTCGTGGCCCCATAGGGAGCTCCACCGAAGGCCCCAATGGCTGCTCTCGCATGCGGTTCCCCCACTCAGGGCAGCGCCTCGTGGCCCCATAAGGAGCTCCACCGTAGGCCCCAGTGGGTGCTCTCGCTTGCGGTTCCCCCACCCAGGGCAGCGCGTGTCCCCATAGGGAGCTCCACCGAAGGCCCCAGTGGGGGTGCCCGCATGCATGCGGTTCCCCTACTCAGGGCAGCGTTTCGTGGCCCCATAGGGAGCTCCACCGTAGGCCCCTGTGGCTGCTCTCGCATGCGGTTCCCCCACCCAGGGCAGCGCTTCGTTGCCCCATCGGGAGCTCCACCGAAGGCCCCAGTGGCAGGGTTCGCATGCGTCTCCCCACCCAGGACACAATTTCGCGGCCCCATAGGGAACCCCACCGAATGCGTTGCTCACAAAGACGGTACTCACAACTGCATATGGTTGGGTCCTTCGCCAGGCTAATTGTTTTAGAGCACGCTGTGGTCCGCACCTCCTCCTGTCCCGCCTCCCTTCTCCTCCTGCCTCCTTTGCGCTGCTCCCTGGGTGGCTCCGAACTGCGCAACCGTCGCCTTCTTTCGTGAGCTCCTGGGTGGTCCAGCATAGTGACGTCCTACGCACATCAGAGTGAGACCTCAACGTCCATGGGGGCTGCGAACTGCGAAGTGTCGCTTCTTTTGAGGGCTGCTGGGGGGGCCCAGCATGTCCTACGCACATCAGAATGAAGTCTCGCAGCCGATGGGGACTGCGAATGTGTCTCCAGTTCCGTTGGCTGCTGGGGGGCCCAGCATAGCGACGTCCTTCGCACATCAGAGCGAGACTTTTCCTTCACTAGGGTCTACGGACCGCGCAGGGGTCGCTTGTTTCGAGGGCTGCTGGGGGGCCCAGAATAGTGACGTCTGACGCACATCCCAATAAGACCTCGTCGTCCCTGGGGTTGCGAATTGAGAAACGGTCGCCTGTTTCGAGGGCTGCTGGGGGACCCAGCATTGTGACGTCCTACGCACATCAGAATGAGAACCCGCTGTCGATGGAGGCTGCGAACTGCGAAGCTGTCGCCACTTTCGAGGGCTCATGGGTGGCCCAGCATAGCGACGTCCTGCGACGCACATCAAAATAACATCTCACCATCTCTGGGGGGCTGCGAATTGCGAAACGGTCGCCAGTTTCGAGGTCGGCTGGGGGGCCCAGTATAGCGACGCCCATCGCACATCAGAATGAGACCTTGCCGTTCCTGGGGATTGCGAGCAGCGAAACGGTCGGCACTTTCGTGGGCTCCTGGGAGGTCCAGCGGAGTGACGTTACACACGCACCAGATCGAGACCTCGCTGTTCCTGGGGCTTGCGAGCGGCGAAACTGTCGCCCAGTGGCGCACCGGACCCATATTTGAGTCAGCGAGCGGGGCGTCACACACACACACACATACAGCAAACGAGACTCAAGCATCAATTTGCGTGGGCGAATCAGGGGAAGGCGTCTCGCAGCGGTGGTCCATCAGACCCGCGGCGAGATTGTCATCACCAGGATGAGGAGGACGAGAAACGATGATTGAGTAGAACGGTGTGGACAAACAAATATGAGAAAACCGATATCTAGCAACCCGCATCGGTTGTTCATCGGACCCGCGGAAACGTAATCATTAGCACGTGATTACGTCGTTGCTTGCAGGCAATTCAGGTGTTCGGAAACGGTTTCGGGCCGTCACGCTCAGAAAACTAAATTCACACATCGATTTGCGTAAGCGAATCAGGGGAGTGCGTTTCGCGACAGTGACAGATCGGACCCGCAGAGGTATTGTCATCAGGAGGATGAGGAGGACGAGAAACGATGACAGCGGAAGGACGATGTGCACACACATGTGGAAAAAGGCCGACACATAGCAAGCCGCAGCACTAGCACATGGGGCTTGTAGAAGTATTATCATCATACCGTGTTTCCGTCGCGCAGGCGATCCGAGTGGCCGGAAAACGCGTCGGGTTGTTATGCGCAGCATGCGAATCTCCAACACCCGTTTGCGTGAGCGAATCAGTGGACGGAGGCGCACAGCGGCTGTCCATCAGACCCGCGGTGCGTCAGGCGTCAGACACACCCGCGGAGATCAGACATCGATGTGCGTCAGTAAGAGCGTCGTCAGGCACGCGCCGAGCACGGACACCGATTTGACTCAGCGAGCGGGGCGTCATTCAATTCAAACGAGACTCAACCATCAGTCTGCGTAAACGAATCAGGGAAGGCGTCTCGCAGCGGGTGTCCATCGCACCTGCGGAGAGGCTGTCAGCATCAGGATGAGGAGGACGAGAAACGATGAAGGGGGGGGGATGTGGACAATCATGTGGGTGAAAGTCGATACTTGGCAACCCGCAGGTATGTTTCATCGGACCCACGGAAACATAGTCAGTAGCACATGTACCCGTCGATTTACGCAGGCGATTCACGTGTTCGGAAAATGCTTCGGGGCGTCACACGCAGCAAACTACATTCTAACATCAGTTTGCGTGAGCGAATCAGGGAGGTGCGTCTCGCAGCGGTGGCCCATCGGACCCGCAGAGAGATTGTCATCACCAGGATGACGAGGGCGAGAAGTGATGATTGGGCGAGAGCGATGTGGACGAACATGTGGGCCAGAAATGCCAGCACTTGGCAAACCACAGCGGTAGTCTATCGGACACGCACAAACATATTATCATGAGCACGTGTTTCCGTCGCGCAGGCGGTCCAAGTGGCCAGAAAACGCTTCGGGGCGTTACGCGTAGCAAGCTTATCTCAACATCAGTTTGCGTGAGCGAATCAGTGGGAGGCGTTTCGCAAGACCCGCAGAGAAGTTGTCATCACCAGGATGAAGAGGACGATAAGGTGATAGGGGGATGATAATGTGGGCAAGCATGTGGGGAACAAAGCCTGTGCCCAGCAACCCTCAGCAGCATTGTAGTCATTATCATAAGGTCGTGCTTACGTCGCGCGGGCGGTCCAAGTGGCCGGGAAACGCTTCGGGGCGTTACGCGCAGCAAACTAATTGCAACATCGGTTTGCGTGGGCGAATAGGGGGAACGCGGTGCTTTCCAGTGGTCCGCCAGATCCGCCAGGATATTATTACAGCTAGGATCTCAGGAGGACGAGGATGACCACATCGGGAGGAAGAGATAGAATCGCGAGGCGGAGGAGCACGGGAAGCAAATGGAAGGGGTAGCAGGCGGCTCACAGCGGTGGCCCATCGGACCCGCAGACACATGATCTTCGTCGTTTGTTCCCGTCCCTCCATGCAAGCGACTGAAAGGTTCGGAAAGCGTTTTCCTGGAAATGCATGAGGTTAACGAATGACGAGGAGGAGGAGGAGGAGGAGGAGGAGGAGGAGGAGGAGGAGGAGGAGGAGGTGGAGGAGGAGGAGGAGGAGGAGGAGGAGGAGGAGGAGGAGGAGGGGGGTAGCTCTGGAGTGGGTGGGGCACGAGGGGAGCGGGCGGCTCAAACAGTGGTCCCTCGGGCCCTTCGGTGCCTCGGGCGCCAGACGCCTCCGCGGCAAACGCGGACACCGAGGTGCGTCCGCAGGGGCGGCGGCAGGCACGCGCCGGACCCCGTGATACGCCAGTGCGAGTCCGTAGGCGGGGCGTGTCACACACAGCAAGCGAGACTCGAGCAGCCATCTGCGTGGGCGTATCTGGGGGAAGGCGCCTCGCAGCGGTGGTCCCTCGGAGCCGCGGAGGGTGCCATCGCCAGGAGGAGGAGGAGGGCGAGAGACGATGGTGGAGGAGGACGGCCCGCAGCTGTGGTGCATCGGGCCCGCGGAGAAAACATGATCATTAGCACGTGCTTCCGTCGATGCATGCGGGCGATTCAGGTGCCGAGAAAACAGCGGGGTGCCAAGCGCAGCAAAGTAGACTCAAACAGCAGTTTGCGTGAGCGAATCCGGGGACGGTGGTGCACAGCGGTAGTCCATCTGTTCCGCCGGGATATCATCATAGCTGCCGGGATGAAGAGGATGAGCGTGGATGAGGGGAATGTGGGCACAGGCTGGCGCCTTGCAGCTCACAGTGGTGGCCCGTGGGACCCGCAGAAACATTCTCGTAAACACTTGTCTGCGCCCCCATCACGAAGGCGATCGTCGAACCCTTTCCTGCTCGCAGGTGCCCTTGCCCGTGCTCGGCGACCTGGGTCTTGTGATTTGCGCACCTCACACCATTGCAGTGAGCTCGTGGGGAGCCCAGCGGAGTGGCGTCGCACACGCATCCAGACGAGACATTGCGGCTCCCTGCTCCGTGCGGGAGGCCGCCAATTGTTCAATTGTCCCCATTTTCGTCGGTTTCTGATCGGCCCAGCAGATTGGACGTGCACGCAAACCCAGTGCGGCCGCCAGTCAGACTGCCAACTATAGATGTCGGCACTATCGTGGGGACGAGTGCTGCAGAACTCTCGATGCATTGTTTGGAAAGGCCGATCCTTTTGATGGTCGCCGCACTTGGAGAGAGGGTTGGGTACCTCTCTGGAAATTCTCAACGAGGGCTCCTGGTGGCCTCGATCCTTTCCCCGGACCAGTTTTTCACCCCGAAAAGTGTTGTTGACGGTCCAGGAGGTCGGTGAGGACCCCCCGAGGCCGAAAATTGCCAAAAGCCATCCTTGTTGTTTCACGACGCGAGGGGGTTCTGGGTCGCCGCGGCTCCTCAGGACGCCGCTGGCACTGATCCGATGAAAGATGTTGGCATCTCCCCCCCCGAATGATCAAACTGGGTCATCTGCTCCTCGTGGAGGAGGTCGGTGTGCAGGCCGCGTGCTCCGTCCTGGGCATCTGGGCGCTGACGCTGCAGGAGCTGCTGCTGGCCTTCGGGCGGCTGCGGGGGGGCGGCACGCTGCTCTTCAGGCTCCGGCCGCACACAAGCGAGACCCGTCGCCGGAGTGACCTTGCGTGCGAGCCCACTGAGATCCCCCAGTCGCCGAATCGGATGCCACAGCAGCGGCTTGCGCGCTGGGGTACCCCCCCATTCCCCATCCCACCACCCCCCTTGGGCATCCCTCCATCCGTATCGCTTAATCTATCTCCACCCCCACCCGCCCATGGTAACTCAGCCACACCATCGCACTCCCCCAGATGGGGATAGGCCCCACGAAGCCCGAAGGGAGCAGCCTGTATCCCCATCTAGGTGGGTTAGCCAGAACGCAGCTTGCTTCTCGGCTCACGAAGACGCTTTCCGTCATCCGCCAGCGGGGCCAATGAGGAGGAGGAGGAGGAATAGGAGGAGGAGGAGGAAGAGGAGGAGGAAGAGGAGGAGGAGGACCAGTTGGAATAGGGGCCGGCACCAAAGGTCACTCCTGCACAGGGTCACGAAAATGCGTGTGACCGGAGGTTCGGCTGGCGCGGGCGGGGGGCCAACGAGGAGGCCTGGTACAGGGAGGCCCCACGAGCGACGAACGTCGCAAAGGGAAAAGCGGCGGTAGGCGAGGGGTGGAAGTGAGAAGGAGAAGGCTTGCTCAGAAGGCGGCGGGACCTCTCAGAAGCCCCCGCGCCTTCTGAGAAGTGTTTGCTGTCTTCGGGGAAGGCGTAGAAAACTTCTCAGAAGGCCGGGTGACTTCCGAGCCTTCTGAGAAGGCCTTCTCCTTCTTATTTCCCCCCCTCGCTCGCCGCCAAAAGAGGGAAAGTCGGCATAGCTCTCGGAGGTCCGCGCGAAGCTCCTTGGTCGGCGCTGGCCCCGCCTGGTGGCGCCTCCGGCGCCGCCCCTGGCGCCGTCCCTGGCGCTCTCCGCGCGACGGAGAGGGGGGTCCAGCGCCGACCCAAGAATTCCGCGCGGAGCTCGGGACGCTTCCGATCAGGAGGGAAAAAACGTACAGGCGCAATGAGTCATCGATCCCCCGGAAACTAATTGGGAAAATAGGGGCGGTGGGGGGGGCGGGGGGGGGAGACGCAAACCCAGCAAGCGTGGAAAAGATGTGGGTCCTCCTGAGATGTGTGCCTGTGTGTTTGTGCTTCCCAGGGCCCCCGTCCTCCGCTTAAGCCCTGGCTCTCTGCCCGAACACTCCGCCACGACCGTGCCCCCGCGGTCTGGGCCTCGGTGCGCGGGCCCCCGCGGCTGCGCCATCTCGCGCAGGGAGGCCCTCCGCCCTCGGGCGGGGGGGTGGTCGGCGGGGAGGCGGCCCCCCCGCCCGCGGCCGAGGAGCCCCGAGCCGCCAGGGCAGCGGGGCACGGACGTGGCCTGGGGCGGGTGGTCCTGGGGGGGGGGGGGGGCCCAGGTGGGGGGGTGACCCACGCAGGGGGTGACGCAAATGGGGGGTGGAGAAGAGGGCCCCAAAGCAGCCCTTCAGGGCTCCTTTTGGAGCCAGCAGGTGCCAAAAACAGGGGGGGGGCCTCGAGGGTCCGCTCGGGGGCCCTGCTCTTTCACCCCCACGTTGGGGCCACCCCCCATCATCACCACCCGCCCGAACTCGGAGGCCACCGTGAAGCTCTTCGCGCTCCTGATGACGTACTTCTCCGGGGTGGCGCCCTGCAAGTCGGAGTTCTCGCACCAGGCCAGCGGGTCGCGGGCCTCCACGGGCCCTTTGTGTTGGGGGCCGGCCGGGCTCCGAGCACGTACGGTGGTCTGTGGGCGCCGCTGGGTGTTGGCCTCTGGGCTGCCTCGTGGAGGCTCGTGGGCACGGCAGGCTCGCGCCGAGTTGACGCGGCGGCGGCCCCGGCGCGGGGGTTTCAGGCTGCACGCCACCAACGGCCCGGCGTCGGCCTGTCATGTGTCAAAGACGATCGTGCGGCGTTGTGAGAAAGCCGCGATGGTTCAAGGTGGACGATCCACGCAGTGCCATAAACCAACGCCCACATCGTCACGACAAGAAACAGCCGTGTGATGTTTCGCTTGGGTGTCTCATCACCCGCTTCCTGGGATCGGCTATCACGCCAGAGTTTCTCTTAGCTTCTGCCGTGCCTCGGTTGCCTGATCTTCCCGTTGCGCCATCGATTCAGAACGTCAAACCAGTTCGGGCATCGGACCAGTGTGAGATCCGTGTCCGCTTCTGTGCCTTACTTGCTCTTCGGCTACGTGCCCTGATTATCTGTATGATCCGACTTGTGATGTTCCAGCTTACTTTAGCCTTGAACGCCAGAAAGAATTTCGAGCACCACGAAAAGTACCGACACTTTGGGGTTGTCACGTGCCTGGCCCTGGGCGGCGATACTCGTTCGAGATTTGTCATATACCTTTCTGGGAGCTCGAAATAATTTCTAGGATGTGGTCCTTAAGTACGATGGGGACACCATAAAATCCGACGTCTTCTACCATATTGCACGGCCCGAGCTTGGAGATCGCCTGCATGCTCTCTCAACTGTCTGAGAGGGGCCACCACTTTTTCACGCGGGCGCTCCCAGCTCCACAACAGCTGTGACGGTTCAGGCACCGATGGCCTAACGAAATTGCTTACCACGAAAGACGCCAATCCCCAGAGGCGGGATGAGATATTCACGGAGTGTGTTGCAAATTCGAAAAGCCCGTGCGCGCAAGATGTGAGTCTGAGGAGGACTTGAGGGGGGCCGCGAGCGGGCGCTCCACGACAGGCACACTCGTCTTTCTATGTCGTCGCGTCTGGCTTCAACTTCGACGCTTACTCGGACGCCGACCTCGGTCGAAAGCTGCGCGAGTCGATCGACCACATCGTCGGGTGCGAGCGCCCGGTGGACCTGCCTTGGTGCATGGAGGAGGTCTGCCCGGCGGAGTTCGCGACGCCTGCGCTGAGGGAACGGATCAGCGCGTTGCTGGATTCAGTGGGCAAGCTCCGGGCCATCGGCATGGCGACGCGTCAGCACCTGGAGGCTCGTCTTCTTCGTGTTCTCCTCCTCCTCCGCCTCCTCCCCCTCCTTCTCCTCCTCCCCTGCATCTACGGTCTTCTTCTTCTTCTCGCCCTCGCCCTCTCCCTTCTTCTACACCTTATCCTCCTCCTCCTCCTCTTCCTCCTCCTCCCAGCCCCAGGCTAGCGGGCGCGAGACCGGGGATGCGACGATCTTCATCTCGCCCGTGCCCTTCCAGCTCACCATGCAGCGGCTGAGGCACCCTCCTCCCCCGCCCCCTGCCCTCGGGGCGATCGAAATTCGGACAGAGAGAGTTCAGGAGGGAAGTACATTGACACACATGATCGTCGAGTCCCAGGAAAATATGGCAAGTATGGAAAGTGGGGGGAAGACAAACATTGGGAAAGATGGGATATCCTGAGATTTCAGCCTTTTTGTTTGCGTGTCCCTGGGCCCCTTCAGAAATACTGACACAAGAGTGGTGACGAAGACCAGCAGCAGCCCCTTCCCAGTTTTGAGCAGGGCTCGCCGTCGCCGCCGACAATTTGTCCGCCTCTGGCAGAACGTCGCCTGCCAGCAGCGGTCGGTGTTGGTTTTGCGCAACTGGTGTTGCTGAGAATCGTGCCCATCGGCCGTTGAGAGGCTGTATTCTTGATTCCCCAGGTTGTAAGATATGTTAGGAGCCATCCTGTTTCACGGGTCGAACGGCTGTTCATCTTCTTTCGTTGTCAGGAGGCCAGCGGATACCGAACATATTTCCGATGCTTCCTTAGTTCGATGGGTACAGATTCTTACTGTGCCCATCGTTCGGGCGTGCCGAAGGAGGAGGCGGAGGAGGAGGAGGAGGAGAAGGAGGAGGAGGAGGGAGGAGGGCGGGTACTTTGAGGGGGAACCTTTAGACCTTGCCTCAGCGAGAACACAACCGCGGGCAGCCACAACCTGTTTCCCTCGCACTCCACCCGGGACTGTTGGGTTTGGCTTTCGCCCTCCCTGGCGGCAGGGTGCCGCCGGGGAGTTGGATCACCCCCCGGCGGTAACGATCGTTAGGGGGAGGAATGGCTGCGCCGCTTGACGGTCCCAAAGCTAGCAGCACCAGCAGCCGCCTGAGCTGTTGGCCCCCGGGGTCACTATGAGCCCACCGGTGTCATGGCACACAGGTTTGTGACGAGCCAGCCACGTGCGAGATATCGCCAGCGGGAGTACGAAAAAAAGAACAACAGAGGATGATGATGGTGTTGATGCTGCTGCTGATGAAGGTGATGATGGTGAAGATGATGATGATGATGATGATGATGATGATGATGATGATGATGATGATGATGATGATGATGATGATGATGATGATGATGCTGATGATGCTGATGATGATGATGATGATGATGATGATGATGATGATGATGCTGATGCTGATGATGATGATGATGCTGACGATGATGATGATGATGATGAGACGATGATGATGGAGATGATGATGATGATGATGTGATGATGATGATGATGATGATGATGATGATGATGATGATGATGATGATGATGATGATGATGATGATGATGATGATGATGATGATGATGATGATGATGATGATGATGATGATGATGATGATGATGATGATGATGATGATGATGATGATGATGATGATGATGATGATGATGCTGATGCTGCTGATGCTGATGCTGATGATGATTGTGATGATGTTGATGGTGATGGTGATGATAACGAGGAGGAGGAGGAGGCGGAGCGCCTGGGCCCTCCCGCCGCCTCCGCCGCTCCAGGGAGCGGCTCGAGCGCTTCGGGCAGATCGCCAACATCCGGCGGCGGGCCCACCCCGTGGGCGTGGGCGCGGACGCCGTCGTGCACTTCACGCAGGCGGCCCACGCCACCAACGCGCTGGAGGCGATCGAGAAGCTGAAGATCCTGGGCCCCAGCGTCACGGCCAAGCGCATCTCCGAGGGCCGGGGCAGGTGAGCGGCACCTCCCCCCTTCGGAGGGCTCCTCGGCCGCGCGCGAGAGGGATCCTCCGCAGGAGCGGCCTTCCTTCGGCAGCGGGCACCGAAGGGGGGGGTCCCTTCCGCACCACTTTGCGGGCTCCGATCTGGCCCCTCCGCGGCCCCCTGGAGCCGCTGACCGAAGGTCACTCTTGCCTGGGGCCCACTCCTGCGCGTAGCCGGGCTCAGGGGAGGAAGAGGTACCAACACCGCCTGGCATACCGCCCCTCGCCCTGCAGAGCCCCCAACGCCACGGCAAGATTCCCCTTGAGGCTCGGACCGTGAGGGGACCTCGGACTCCCGAAAAGTACCTCACCGTACGGCCCGTCACCGCACGGTGTTCGGAGCCTGGAGGCCCGAGTTGCCCGAGGCCTCCTCGGAGAGCGACCCAAGTCCCGATATCCGTGCGGCGACCCCGGATCATGACCGACTCGCGTCGCACGGAGTGGTCACCGCGCCGTCCGGAGGCCCCCCCGAGGCATTGGTACCTTTTGCTTCCCCCGGGGGCCCACCCTGCGTACCCCGCGCGCCGATCTGGGCGCTCCCAGGCGGCCTCTGCTCGGCCTGGCCGCCGCTGGGGAGCTCCGGAAGCCTCCCCCCTCTCTCTCGCCCTGCGCGGTCCGAAAGGCTGCGCCCTTTCTCTCCTGGGCCTCGCTCCGCGGGGCCTTCTTGCCCATGCTCGCTCCTCCGCCCCTGCTCGCACATCCCTTGCCCCCCCCCCCCTCTTTCCCCGACTGCTCCCCGCCTCCTCCTCCCTCCTCCCTTCGACGCTCCTCTCCTCCCCCCTCTCCCTAACCCCTCTCGCTGTTGCTCGTGTTTTTGTGCCCCCCTGGTCCTCCCGGCCCACCCTCAGGAGGGAAGGAAACACACAGACACAATGAATCGTAGCATAGCATAGCGTAGCATAGCATAGCCCAGCATAGCATATCATAGCATAGCCCAGCATAGCATAGCATAGCATAGCGCAGCATAGCATAGCATATCATAGCGCAGACCAGCACAGCACAGCATAGCACAGCGCAGCGCAGCATAGCATAGCATAGCATAGCATAGCATATCATAGCATAGGATAGCATAGCAATTCATGCTGCTTTCCTAGGGGCTCCAACTTCTAGGTAGGGCCGCACTGGGGTACTTTGTGTCTATTTGGCAATGTGTCCCAGGGCCCCTGCCCATCCTCCCCGAGCTGCGAGCGGTGCCCAGCGGCCGAGGCCCCTGGCGCCTCCCTTTGCCCCGCCGCCCCGCCTCCTGGGGCTGCGGCGGGCGGCCGCGGGCGGACGTGAGCGAGCTCCTCTTCTCGCGGGTCGTTTCCCTGTGTTCCTCCTCCTCCTCCTCCTCCTCCTCCTCCTCCCCCTCCTCCTCCTTCTGCCCCTCCTCCTCCTCCTGCTCCGCTTCTTCCTCCTTCCCCTCCTCCTCCTCCTCCTCCTCCTCCTCCTCCTCCTCCTCCTCCTCCTCCTCCACCTCCACCTGCTCCTCCTCCTCCTCCTCCTCCTCCTCCTCCTCATCCTCCTCCTCCTCCTCCTCCTCCTCCTGGCGTACTGCCCGCCCCCGGGCTGCTCCATCCTGCCCGTCCTCCTCACGGGGGCGCGCGCTGGCGTGCGAGGTCTGTGGTGGCCTCGGGCCTCGGGCGTCCTCGCCGTCGCTGCCTCCTCCTCCTCCTCCTCCTCCTCCTCCTCCTCCTCCTCCTCCTCCTCCTCCTCCTCCTCCTCCTCCTCCTCCTCAGAGTCATACCGCACGAGCGCCGCCCCCGCCCCCCACGGGGCGAGGCACGGCGTGTCTGCCACGGCCGGAGAGAGGCCTCCCGCCGCGGCTCTCGCGAGCCGGGGCCGCCGCCTCCTCGCCCACCTCTCTGGCGCGCCGCGCCCTGCCCTGCGAAGAGGCCCTCCTCCTCAGGGCTTTTGAGTCGGGCGTGTCCCCCTATACAGGAGGAAAATTCAGGAATGGTCAAAACAATGGTCTGGGAACGATGTCAATTGAGCATGTTGTTGGCCACTTTTCGCATGTTTCGCGCATTTGCTGTTTTTCTTTCAAAGTCCGTCTTTCGGGGGACATGCCCGACCTGATCCTGGCTCTTCCGAGCGCCCAGAGGCTCGGCTGCAGCGGGCAGCTCGCCATCCACGCGAGCTGGGGCGCCCGCGCCTCAGGCGCCGCCGTGCCCTGCGCGCGGAGGGGGTGGGAGCGGATCCTGAGGCTGCAGGGCATAGTGGGCCCTGGAAACGACGGGGCCGATTTCTTTACCGGTTCCGTTCTGCCGTTTTTTTGCAGGTTCCGACGCCGTCTTTGTTGCTGGTTCCGTCGCCGTTCCAATCCTGGAGCCGTTTTTACGGGTTCCAATCCTGGAGCCGTTTTTGTTGCCGTTTCCGGTCGCCGTTTTTTTGCCGTTTCCATTTTCAAGGGAGACTTTTTCGGAAACGGTGAAAAAACGGCCCTGCCGTTTCCGGGGCCCACTAAGTCCTGAGGCCCCAGGGTCGGCGCCTTCGCTTTCGCACGCGTGCTCAATTTCGCGCTCGGCACGCTTTCCAGCGATGCGCGAAGCGTCCGCAAGCGCACGGGCGCGCTCCAGCACGCCCGTGCAGCGTTTGCGCCGCAGGGCCTGCTCCGAGCGCCCAGCGAGGGCGGAGCGGGCGGGCCTTGCTGCGCCTGCGGGCAGCCAGGCCCCTGGATGTTTGGCACGCGCTCCTCTCTTGCCGCTCGCGTGCCGCGGCTGGGGCGAAGGCCGCTTGAGAGGGCTCGAAAGGGAAGCCGCGCCGCCGGACCCAGCGCGGCCATGCCAAGGGATCGGCCCCGGAAGGCTGGCAAGTGCAAGGGGGGAGGTCGGGGCTCGAGAGACGGGGGTCAGAGCAAACGGGGGTCGGCCAGAGCGCCGGATCTTGCTTACCATATCCCTATGCTGGGCATCTCCTCATCACGATGCCAATCTTAGGGAATCCTTTATTTTTTTGAGGGCGAATCCCTAAGATCGTCATCGCCTTTTGGCGTGTCAATCTTAGGGATAGGGAAAAGTTCGAGGCTGGTAACTTGCGGGTTGCTGCAGAGCCAGAGGCGCAGGATCCTGCAGGATCTCGTAAGGCCTGACTGACCCGCGGTTGGATCGGCCCGGGTCAGCAGATCCCCGAGGAGGGCCGGTCCATGCCGGCCCTTCACGGGGCAGTGGCGGCGGGCCGCGGGGAGCGGAGAGCTTCGCGCCCTCCTTTGCTCTGCGGACCTGTGGCCCAGCGCAGCGAGGACCAAAGATGGGCGTCGCAGGCCTAGAGGTTGACACCAACACCAAGGTCGGCGGTGTTCCTCCACCGAGGGAAGAAGATCCCGATCTCGGTGATGGTGGTAATATTCTGGCTTCCAAGGTGGCCGAAATAGTACCACCAACACCGAAATCTAGGATCACCTCCCCCCTGTGGAGGCAGCCCTCTGTGTTGGTGTTGGTGCCCATTTCCAGGCCTCCCAGGGCGCGCCAGGGAGTGGTCTGCGCCGATCGCGTGCTGATGGGAGGCTCTGGCCGACGAGCGGTCGACAGGTGCAGGTGGGAAGAGCCGGAAGCCATGCACGCGGAAGAGACGAGGGCATGCAGCAGGGCGCGCGAGAGTCAGGAGGAATAGAAACACACAGACATAATTAATCCTCGATTCCCCAGAAAATATGGGAAAATATGGGAAGTGGGGGGGAAGACAAAAACCCGGAAAATATGGGAAAACATGGGGAATGTGTTTATTTGTGTGTACGTATTTGTGTGTCCTGGGGCCCCTTCAGAGAGGCAACAGGCCGTCGCACGCGACGCGCTCGGGAGTGCGAGCGCAACCACGCAGCGTGGCTGGGGGGCAGCGCCCCTCCCGAGAGAGAAGCGCGGCCCGAGCGCGCAGCCTGGGGGCCGCCCCCCCCCCCCCCCCGGGAAGCGGGCGAGGGACCTCCGGGGGCGTGCTCGGGGCATCGCCGCCGACGTGCTCGCGCCGTGGCCATCGGGCCGGACGACAGGGGGGGGTTGGGAAAGGGGGGGGTACGAATTTGCTGCATGCATGCAGCCGGTTTCGGCCCCGCCGAGGGGCCCATTCCTCGAGACACAGCCGCCTCCGGCGCCCTGGAGGCGCCGGAAACATCAGCTACGTGAGCTGATTCTCAACCCCCCCTTTGCTATCCCCCCTTTCACCCGACCCGAGACAACTATCACGACGGGAGATTTTGGGCCGCTCCGCCAAAACAGCGATCGCGATGGACCACGAAAAGCGACCTTGGGGAGAGGGTCGGGATGTCCGGGGACCGCACATCGGAAGCGTCGGGGCGTCGCATGCTTGGGTCCCCTCGACGAGAGATAGGCTGAATAGCCGCCCTGGTGAGTCTGGTTCTGGAAGGCCGTCCCCCCAGCGACGTCATGATTCTTCTCGGTGCGGTTAGGTCAGGCGTTTCCCCCTGCATGCGGATTTTGGAGGACAAATGAACAGTAGGAACAAGCATGAACATCGTCCCCAGACTCTTTTTTACTATGTTTGCGCATTCCTCCTGCAGAGGGACGTGCCCAGCTCAACGGCACGGGGGTCCCACCTCGGGGCCAGTCTCTCAGCTTCGGGCCCGGCGAGGGCCTCTGGCGCCGCCCTTGGCGCGCCCCGCGCGCCAGGGAGGGGGGGCGCCCCAGCGCCGATCCAGGAAAATCAGCGCGGACCTCCGGAAGTTTGCGTTTCTGTGGGTGTTTTTGTTCCCCGAGCTGTGCGATTCGGCACTGTAGGCGGTGCTCCCACGAGCTGTACATCAGGAGCAACGGAGCGAAAGTTAGAACCTGGAGGAACGTGAACATGGAGAGGAAGAGGGAGAACAAAGAGCCACAAGAGAATATCGGGAAAACATCGCTCGAAGTTTCTAGGCCTGGCTCACAACCTCGCGATCCTCTGCCATCTTTGGCATGGCAGCGAGCCCCATTGTAGGCGGGGTTGGTATGTGAATCTGCCGGCGCTCCTGCAGAAGGAATCTCTTTGTGCAGCCTGTGCCCGCATC